CGCCTGGCGGTGGGGGGGGAGTGGGGGAGGGGGGGGGCAGGACTGAAAATGCTGGACAATGCTGGCTCTCCACAGCTTCCTCGTTAGGTAGGCCAGTAGTGACTGGGTCTTTGCTGGGGGGCCTGAGGTACAACTGAGCTGGGACAACGGGCCCTTCGGGAGGGGGTGTCACTGGATTAGTGCCGTGACTTCTGGCGCCAGGGACCATGTGTCACAAAGGCTCAGCTGGGTGCATGGCCCAGGGTGCTGCCAGTGCCTCCATGGTAAGGCTGCGCTAGTGCTTGAGAATACACACACGCCCTAGGGTTTGAGCCACTCCAGACAGCCTGATGTAACACGTCTCAACGAGCTGGGGAACTAAGCACTTAGTTCGAATTGCCGTTTCACGGCTGCGTGTAGCCACAGGCAGTTAGTTCGGACTAGGGGGATTTAAAAATGGCGCCCAGACAGGAAGATGCAAATAGAGCCTGGGATATTTAAATCCCGGGCTCATTTGCAACTTCGAATGCCTACATTAGCCTCTCTAGTTGGAACTAGGGCTTGTGCAGACATACCCATCCACTGTAACCCCCAGGTCCTTTTCTGCAGAACGACTACTTAGCTGGTTGGTCCACAGCCTGTAAAAATGCTTGGGATTCTTCCGTCCCAAGTGCAGGACTCTGCCCTTGTCGAACCTCATCAGATTTCTTGTGGCCCAATCCCCCAATTTGTCTAAGTCACTCTGGACCCTATCTCTGCCCTCAAGCGTATCTACCTCTCCCCCTAGCTTAGTGTCATCCGCAAACTTGCTGAGGGTGCGATCCATCCCCTCATCCAGGTCATTAATAAAGATATTGAACAAAACCGGTCCTAGAACCGAACCTTGGGGCGCTTAGCTAGGAACTGACCGCCATCCTGACATTGAGCCATTGATCACTACCCTCTGGGCCCGGCCTTCTAGCCGTCTTTCTATCCATCTTACCATCCATTTATCCAATCCACATTCCCTTAACTTGCTGGCAAGAATATTGTGGGAGACCGTATCAAAAGCCTTGCTAAAGTCAAGGTATATCACATCCACTGACTTTCTCATGTCTACAGAGCCAGTTACCTCATCATAGAAGCTAACCAGATTGGTCAGGCACGACTTGCCCTTTGTGAATCCATGCTGACTATTCCTGATCACTTTCCTCTCTTCCAAGTGCCTCAAAATGGATTCCTTAAGGATCCCTTCCATGATTTTTCCAGGAACCGAGGTAAGAGTGACCAACCTATAGTTCCCTGGATCGTCCTTCTTCCCTTTTTTAAAGATGGGCACTACATTCGCCTTTTTCCAGTCAGCCAGGATCTCTCCCGATCTCCATGAGTTTTCAAAGATAATGGCCAAAGGCTCTGCAATGACATTTGCCAACTCCCTCAGTATCCTCGGATGCATTAAGTCCGGACCCATGGATTTGTGCACGTTTAGCTTCTCTAAATAGTTCCTAACCTGTTCTTTACCCACCACGGACTGTCCATCTTCATCCCATCTTGCCTCACTTAGCGCATTAGTCCGGGAGCCCACCTTGTCCATGAATGCAGAGGCAAAGAAAGCATTGAGTACTTCAGCTTTCCCCACATTATCTGTCACTAGGTTACCTCCTTCATCCAGTAGGGGCCGCACGCCCTCTCTGATCACCTTCTTCTTGTTAACATGCCTTAGAAACCTTTCTTGTTATCCTTCACATCCTTAGCCAGTCGCAATTCCATTTGCGCTTTCGCCTTCCTGATAACCCCCCGGCATTCTCGAGCTAGACCTTTAAACCCCTCCCTGGTCAGTTGTCCAAGTTTCCACTCTTTGTAAGCTTCCTTTCTGTGCTTAAGTTCACCAAGGATTTCCCCTGTAAGCCAATCCGGTCTCCTACCATGTTTGCCTCTCTTGCTACGCGTCGGGATGGTTTCTTTCTGTGCCTTCAATAAGGCTCCTTTAAAATACTGCCAGCTCTCCTGGACTCCTTCCCCCTTCATGTTAGCATCCCAGGGGATCCTGCCCATCAGGTCCCTGAGGGAGTCAGTCTGCTTTTCTGAAGTCCAGGGTGTGTATTTTACTACTCTCTTTCCTTCCTTTGGTCAGGATCCTGCAATCTACCATCTCTGGGACACTTGGCACTGACCACTGTGGGCAGACAGGGTACTGGGCAAGATGGACCTTGGGTCTGACCCAGCCTGGTCTTTCCGAGGCGAGTGCCTGGCCTCACTGCACCGTGGTGCATGGGGGATACCTTCTTTTCAAAGTCCTCTGCACCCAGGCTGACCCTCTGAAAGGGAGGGGGCGTAAACGTCCAGTGCCACAGACAGGCTCCCTTCGCGTCTAAGACTCAAGAGAGCGAACAGCCAAGGCAGTGAGGGTGTCCCCTGGACGTGTGCTTACAGGCACCAGCTCAGCCTCCTGCAAAACACCTCCCCAGAACTCTGGCGGAACGGTCTGCAGGCACATGGGCCAGGGCCGAGTTACCAGCTAAAAGGAGAGGAGGCTTTTAGTTCTCTGTAAAACTTCCTGCCAGTCATGGGACCGCCCCCTCTTGCCAAGGGCTGGCTGGGTTCTCTCTGCCTCACTGAGATCCGGTGCCATGGGCTACCCACGCCAGGCAGTGCTGAGCCGGATTGCGCATGACAAGCCCTGCTGGGGGGGGGGGGGGGGGGGGGGGGGGGGGCCACGCCGT